ATGTAAAAAATTTACAGTTATTTTAATGCAATGATGAACACTTGTTTTTTTCCCATCTTTTCATTGTTTTACATTGCTCTAAGAAGCAAATCCTTTATTCAGTAAAAACACGTCTACTTTTTGTTTTTATTTATTTTGTTTTCAGTATTAATACCAACTAGTTCCTGCAGCTAAAAGATGACACTTAATAAGCAATAAAGAACTATAATTATGAAGTGTTTTTCATCGTATAATTTAGCTTTTTAAAAGCTTCATAATAAGCATCGTTGGGGTGTTTTTACGAGGGGGTCATTGTTTTTTCAGGCAGCTTATTCATCCAGTCTAGTCCTTGTCAGCTTGTCCATTTTATTAAAAACACAAGTTTAAAGTGCTCCGCGCATTAAAAACTGCCRACACCCTAATTAAATCAAACTGCTGGTCCAAGCATTAATCCTCAGACTCAACATTATCATAACCAATAACATCTTTCATAGGCCTGTAATTAAAATGGCTGTAATTAGACGGTGGGGTTGGAGTCTTAATTGACTGAGAAGGAGGTTTCTTGGCRTTGCAGTCTGTTTGAATATTCCTCATCCGCCTCTCGGGACGAATATTGACATTTAAATAAGAGTTTCAGACCAGGCCGAGTGTCTGATGTGGTGTATTTTAAACGGGCGTGCAGTCCAGCTCTGTGTTTTCCTCATTAGTCCTCTCAGCTCAAGCTTGTGTTTAAGTGGAGCTGTCAACGTGTCACTTCCAGGTCTCCGGCTACACAAAAAACAGTTTTTATTTTTTTTAAATTTTCTCCCTGGATCATGACACCCTGATTACCTACCTACGTTGCACCACTCGTGTCAGCATTTGAACAGGTGCACATTAGCATAGACGCATCCGGCGGCTGCTCTCCTCAACGCAGACGGCTAATTATTTCTAATCACAGCTGAGCTTGTGTACGTCACAAGCGGGGGGGAGTTTTTGTTTTGTTTGCTCACTCTGGGGTGAATGATGAGCGTCATCTGAGTAACAAAGTATTATAGGTTGTTTCGGTATGAAATCTGTTTCCTGCAGAGACGAGCAGCATCTTCTCTGGAGTTTTACACATTTTTTCTTTTCAAAAGCACTTTTGGATGTCGGCACAGGAAGTTTTTCTTACACTAAAATAACCTTCAGCATTTCAAAGTCAGTGTTGTGGAGTCTTTGCCTCATAAAGAGGAGTTTAAGTATCTGGGCATCTTGTTCCTGAGTGATGGCAGGATGGATTGATAGATCGGCGCCTCGTCCCCAGTAATGAGGGTGTTGCTTCGGTCGGCCATGGTGAAAAAGGAGTTGTCGAAAAGCAAAGCTTTTTTTTTTTTTTAGATTTACCGATCCATCTAAGCTCAACAGATTCCACTCAAACGTTCAGACGTCAGATTAGAAACCTCTCGAGATCAAACATGAGTTCAGAGTAAATAAACATGGCCGACGAGGAAGAAGAAATGGYGATAGTTTGTGGACTATTTCCACCAAAGAAAAAACAAAAAGACGTTTGCGTCATGGCAGGTGTTTTGTCTTCTGTATGTTTGGAGTTGTTTCTATCACCTCGCTTTCTGATTGACAACAAGTCACATTCAACAGGCTGCAAACTCCACATGCTGGGATATCGAGCCAAGATGATCCAACATGTTGAATATCCCCAATTGATTGATTGATTGATTGATTTATATAGCGTTTAACAACAACCAAGGTGACCAAAAAACATCACAGTCGAATCACATCACAAGAAAAGAAAACATAAAAAGAGAAAATAAATATTAAAAGCCTGTTTAAAGAAATAACTCTTGAGATTAGACTTAAAGACGTCCAGGTCAGAGGTGGATCGAAGGTCTAGAGCAGGGGTGTCAAACTCACTTTCATCGAAGGCCACATGAGCGTTATGGTGGCCCTCAAAGGGCCAGTCGTTCACATGGATGATGGACTTGCAATATGGGAGATTAAGTTTGTGGTCAATGCTGGATTTAAAGCAGCTTATTTTAAGTCATTAAAATACATTATTACTGAGCCATCTAACTAAATTGTTCAATTACATATAGCCAACATCTCAGGGGCAGGATGAGTACTATTATCTTTCACCTTTTAATTTAGTTTATTTTGTTGCATGTAACCAAAATTTTTTTACCATTGATATAAGAAACAATTTTCATATTAAGTAAGTCTTAGCATGAAAATTGTCACCTGCGAGCCACATGGAGCCACACAGACCTCGAGTTTGACACGTGGTCTAGTTTGTTCCAGAGTCTGGTTCCTGCCAATGAAAAGTCCCAGTCACCCCAAAGCTTTAGCCAAGTTGATTTGATGACCTCAGGGATCTCCCATGTACAGTTAGACTTAAAAGTTCAGATAAATATGGCGGAGCAGTGCCATTAAGAGATTTAAAAACAAACAATAATAATTTGAGATCAAAGCAGTCCCGACGTCCTTCCAAGCCGACAMGATCACTCTTAACACACCACATGTGGCAGGAATATCTCTTCAGATTATCTTTAGAGTCATCGCAATAATCGTCATCCTTAAAGGCACAGTGTGTAGGATTTTGTCAATTCTTTTAGCCAAAATTGAGATAATCACTATAATTCAATAATAAAAAAAACATGTCTAATCGTTGCAGACAAAGACCTTGTTTCATTATTTTTACCTTATAAAAAGCTGTTTATATCTCCATGGTCGCGGGTCGCCACTACAGGCAGCCGCCATCTTGCCTACGAAGGCTCATGAAGGACAAACTGCGGTGGCGGCGTCAAAAACGGTTTTAGTTGTAATACTATAAATGTAATATTTGTTGTCTGTCATTGTAGCTGGGATAATTTTACTTATTAAAGCTCATAATCTTACCACTTGAAACATCACTAGCCCTGAAGCTGCTGGTAGACATCGCGGTTGGAATTATCAAAGGTTTTTGACACCTGAGAGACACCSTAGCAACTCCTTTGTGTTTGGAAGCGGGGGATGGGGGTGGGGGGAGGACCAGGGAGGATGATTCAACCACTCAACCACTAGATGTCGCTGAAAACAACAAATCCTACACACTGCGCCTTTAAGATTATTGGAAGGGGGGAACAATGGGCCAAAAATTGGCACGTTTATCTTGCCATGGAAACCCTGCATCATCACGTGTACAAGCAGCTGAAATGAACTTGCTTCGAGGAACTCCATCATTCTGGGATGAGCTCAGAGTGCAGACACTTACTTCTGATGTTTATGTTCTGCTGTAGTGATGCTTTTGCCTTTGCGTTTTAATGCCACATTAATGTCATTTCTTTCACTGTCTGAAGCTCGGAGGGWTTTTCGSTTTGGGTTCCCATGTCGTTTATTTCCAGCGTTCGAGCTCAGTAAACACCAAACACCAAGAGAGTCGGGTGCGGTGGTTTAGATCAGCACGAAGCCTCACGTTTTCCGTCGAAGCCTTTAGGGTCTGACGCGATCGTTCATGCAGGGTTCTGTAAAGAGTTTCGGTCGTCCCCTGTCCCACTAATGTTCTGTCCCATCAACCAGTGCTGCTACAAGACACTGATGGAGCCTTTGGGGGGAAGATTGTTCTGCCTTTCATCATCAACCATCATCGGTGGATTTGGAAATTAATGGCATAATTAGAAGAAAAATTAACTCTCAAATAAATTTTGTAACTGCTGCCGTCTCGTCCTCCAGTTGTTTTCCTCTCTGGTCAATTTAAAATGAACCCGAGTCACAGTTCAGTGGTAAAAATGGAATTGCAGTCATGTTTTTAGCAGATGACTCCATTATTGCTGCTTGTTGACCCGTGTGTGAACTCCCATAAAGACTAATGTGTGATCCTGAATGTCTCCAGTGTTCAGGATGAACTGATTTAACTCTTCGGTGTCTGTTGGATTTTCAGCTGCAGACGCTAAGGAGCAGCAGTTTTGGATCAGTCAGCTTCAAGCGTGCGCCAGACGCCACTCTGACAGCAGTGCCAAGGTAAACACACACACACACACACACACACACACGCACACACACACACACACACACACGCACTGCCATACATACACGTCACTGTTTTCATATCATCAGCTCGTGTAACTCAGGAAGTGAATCAGCAGGAAGTCCTGAACTTTCTGTGTAAGTTCCTGTTCCTTCATAAATGTGACAGTTTTCTTACTATAAACTCCAGGATGTGTTCAGTATTATTGCTGAAAGTAAGATTTTCATTCCTGCTGAAGTCACAAAACACCAGCAGTGGATTTTGAAATATAGGTGTGTTCAAGAATTAACGATGTCAAATGTCTTTTGTGGTGCTTTCTTAAAAACTAATTAATTGCTGTATAYGAGATATTTCCTCTTCAGCTTTTAATTTAGACTTTTTCTGTTTTTGTAGCCTTAAAGTGCCTGTGTCATCAGTGTTTTTGTAATAAATGTGAATGCATTTTTTRAAAGATAGCATTAATAACATAATGCAAAAAAAACMMCACTTCACACYGCTGAGATGAACAGTTGTGGAGATATTTGCACGTAGAGTAACAGGAAGTGATGTCAAAGGGGAATGTCAGCATGTGAACAGATTGTAGAGAAGAATCTGTTTCTTTAAATTATTCTGAGTCGCTATCAAAGAGAGACGAAGAAGAGTTAAAGTTAAAATAATTTTGTTTTAATAAACAAAGACCAGAGAGTTTATTTTATTAAAGAATTCCCCTTTGATGTCACGTCCTGTTTCACTTTGGCTGAGCGAATTTCAAAATAAAATCTGCCAGTTATGTGAGAAAACGGTTAAAATCATGCATTTTATGTCAAGTTTCTTAAATATAAAGATGTTTTATGATTTTTGTATTTGAAGAATATAAACATCACAGGCCCTTTAAGCCRTTCTTTATCGGCTCATTTCAGTCGTTTGATGCTTCATGTTTTGGGTTTTACTTGTCTCTAAATCTGGTGGCGAGTTCTCTTCCAAACGTAGATTACTTGTATGTGTTGGYTTGATCAGGTAAAAGACTTTAAAGTGTGTTAAAGTCACGCTTAATGAACCACAAGTTCCAAAATTGGCAAAGTTTTACACGATGAATATTTTAATAAAGTTTTCCTGCAGCAGTTAGCTTTTTTTCCCTGTCAGAGTTTTGATCCTGATGCACTGAAAAAAACCTTTAGTTATTATAATGATCAAACCTTTGAAATGACATATTGTATTTTGAGGTGACCTAATAAAATTTTCACTACAATTATAAACGCTTCAGCACAGCTTTTTGTTAAAAAATAAAGGCCTTTTTCAGGTTTTCTTTCCCCATGAACACTTATCAAACCAAGCAAGTCTGCAGACTAATAAAAAGCCTCTGACTTCCTCACAATAAGCTTCATATTAAAAATGAAAGAGAAAATGAGACTAAATAAGAAAGCAGATTTTATCATTTTATTAGTTTCCGAATATTTTTGGGAAATCGTTTGCGTCGACTTGAAGGTAGCAGCTCAGATCCCTGCAGCTGAACCTCAGGATGCATTTGGAAACATCCTCATCCTCATCTTCCTCTTCTCAGTGAGCTCCTTTCTGACAGCCCTGTTTGCTGAAATCTACCTTTATCTTTAGTTTTATTTGTTRTTGGGTTAGTGGATTTATATTTGGACATGTGCAGATTTTAATGTTGCCTCAGTGGATTGTTTTGCATATATATATGTGTGTGTGGGTGTATCTCCACTTGCCTGTTCTCACAGTGACTGACTTTGTTAGAGAGTTTCTTGTGGAGCTCCGCTGCCGGTGGTGACAGTGTGAAAGTCGGCGGTGCGTGGATGTCAGAAATATTCCAGAAGTTTAATATTTCTTTTGCAAACTTTGGGTGTTACAGCTGGCTGTCCCCTAAACTTTAGGTAAAATATAGAACTYGTTACCATGACGCATGCTTTGCTTTAAGAACGGCTGTTTTGAAGCTTRAAGTTGAGGTTTTACTTGTCTTCTTTTTGGGGTTTTCATATTTTTTTTGTCAAGAYAATAATTTGAGCAGGATTTAATGAGGGGTGTGATTGATAAATGACTCCTCATTAAGTGGGTCTAGTTTTTGTGGTTTTTTACTGAAATCCACCTCTCATTTACAGTGGGTAAAATAAGTATTGATTTTAGCATTTAACTAATGTCAGACTTTAAGCTACTGTGTGGCTACTTTTAGCTTTAAACTACTGTGTTGTTAATTTTAGGTTTGGGCTCCTATGTTTCTATTTTTAGCATTTAGCTACTGTGTTGYAACATTTATCTTTTGGTACTGTATGGCTACAATTAGCATTTAAGTAAAAAGGAAAAAAATTTATAGGCCCCTGTTAACAATAGGTATTAATTAGGTGCGAACGATAGCCATGTAATGTGAGTATCAGTCACCTGTGAACGATAGCCATGTAATGTGAGTATCAGTCACCTGTGAACGATAGCCATGTGATGTGAGTATCAGTCACCTG